CACAAATACGGCTATATTATATATGTTAATCAAAAAGGATTCTATATATGTTATTTCAGTCTTATTATATATTTATATATTATTTATTTTATTGTTTAGGAATGTCAATTATCTGAAGACGGATATGTACAAGAAATGGATATTGCTGGTAAAGATTTACCATTTGAAAGCATATTACAAAATAGTTTTGGATACGGTAGTACTCTAAGAATTGCAGTATGCGTTCATGATGACGCTGATAGGTAAATTAAATTTATTAAACAATTAATCTAACAACTGTATACCTCTTGTTCAATTTTAGAGCGAGTGAGTGAGTGAGTGAGGAGAGAGAGAGAGAGAGAGAGAGAGAGAGAGAGAGAGAGAGAGAGCAGCTTGTGTTAATTATAACTATTTATTCCAGGTTATCTTTTAATCTCGTCTGTTACACTACAACGTTTGTAAAACAAAAGACTGTGACAGACAGTCATGACATTGCTTTGCATTTTAATCCAAGACTCAAAGAAAACATCATTGTACGAAATACATATCAAAATGGTCAATGGGGAGATGAGGAAAGAAATGGAGGAAGTCCATTGAAAGCAGGCTGCGATTTCACATTGTACATCGTTTGCGAAGAACGCGGTTATAAAATTCATATTAATGATAGCGAATATACTTTTTACAGTCATCGAATACCTCCCACCAGTATTACACATTTACGTATCAAGGGATTAATGACTTTATGTAGTCTTACATATAAATCTACATCTGTAAGTAAAATATTCTATCACTGAAGTGGTTTTTTTCTTTATTTTATAATATTGACTACCTTGGCAATTATAATATGTGCATGCATGCATACGTATTTTACTGTTATATACTTTACATAGGTAATTATTGAACCTATTACAATGTTTTGGAGGCAAATTGGTGGACATTTGAAAAAAGTTGAGACGTGTTCCGTGGGTGTTACTTGGGGCATTGGTTACGACAGTACTGCTTGGGTATATACAAGTGGTTGGGGAGGCGCGTTTCTCAAAGGTACTTAATATTTATAATTAATAATAAATGAACTGATAAGTTTTGTATAAAAGACAAAAGAAGGAAAGAAAATGAATACTCTCTAAATTTCTAGGGGTGATATTTTATCACAAAAGAAATTTAGAAAGTACATTGAAGATTTTGGGCACGATATTTAGATCGAATTAATGTATCTATAATTCAATGCAAATTGTTAATGTGAAAAGAATTACATAGGCTTAGGCACCAGCAATACCGGAGTAAATACGATGGTAGATACCCATAATTATTATGTATATGAAAATCAACGTTGGAATCCAGTAACTGGATATACTGCACATGGACTTCCAACAGACCGGTATATGTGGAGCGATGCAACTGGACGACATAAATGTACACGAGAACATACAAAATTATTGTCAATGCATTGGCATTGGGTAAGTGAATGAGAAAAAAATCTTTTCGAAAATAAATTGAAATTCTGAATTCACTAGAGCTTTGTGTTATAAAATAACACTAATTAAATAACAATAATTAAATAAAATAACTAATTAAATAACAATAATTAAAAAATAGTTTACTATTAATACTCTTTGACATATTCTTTGAATAAATATTAGGTGTGGGAAAAAGTCGTGGCGTTTTTTTAATGCCATCTAACGGGAAAAACGCCACGAACTTTTTCTCACACCTAATATATTTTTATATTTTGAAGGTATCAGATTGGATAGTTGACTTTCACACATCCGGTGGTGTTGATAGAGATGGATGGCAATACGCTACTGATTTCCCATCGCAATATCACGGTAAGAAACAATTTACTGATTACGTTCGAAGAAGACGATGGTTTAGAAGATGTCAACTAACTACCAGCGGACCTTGGCAAGAATTGGGAAATACTAAACTCGTTGATGTCTCTTTATATGTATGTTTTATATTTTTATTATCATCTTTACACATTTTGGAAGGAATATATTTTGTTAATTCTTTGTTAATTATAATAGGCATCTGGAAAACCTGGCACGGATGATCTTATTCATGTTTGGGCGGTTGCTGCAAATGGTGAAGCTTTGTTCAGACGAGGTGTCTCAGAATCTTGTCCAATGGTACAACTATTTAAATTGTTTTTAATTTTTTTACATACAATACTATATACATACAATATTATATATATATATATCATATGTATGCGTGTGCATAAAATTGTTTATTGATTACGCATATAAGAGTATATAAGATAATTTCTAATGAGCAAAGTACTTAACCGTTAAGTTATATACTTTTGATCTACTTTTGATGATTCTACATGTTTCACATATTAAATAGGGAGTATCATGGGAACATATACCAAGTGATCAGCCCTTAATTAGCATATCGTGCGGTCCATGTGGACAAGTCTGGGCTATTGGAAAGAATGGTTCCTCCTGTTGGAGGCTAGGCATTAGTGCTACAAAACCAACTGGTATAAAATTAACAAAAAATTATCACGGCATACATGTACATAATAACTATAATTACTACAATCTATTACATCTAATAGATAAGAAGGTATTTAATCAAAAATTTTAAGATAATCGATATTTTATAAAATTTAGGTATACAATGGCAAAATGTCGAGCCTCCTTCAGGCGCTCAGTTGAAGCAAATTTCAGTAGGACATGATGTTGTGTGGGCCTTAGATACAATTGGTCGACTGTCAGTACGCCGAGAAATACAATCCAATGTTTTCCCCGAGGGAACTCATTGGCAGACATTACCTGCTATGCCAAACGATCCTATTCATATAGGTATCAAGTAGTTACTCTCTTCCCTTTTATTTCTTCTATTTCATTGTATGTAAAATGACGTGTTAATACATAATAGATATGTCAGTCGCAAATGCTAAGCAAGGATTCCGACATGTATCCATTTCGAGGGAGCAAGGACAAATTTGGGCAATTTCAGGAGCTGGTATTATTTGTCGAAGAATTGGTGTTACTCATGAAAATCCAGCTGGAACCGGATGGGTAACTGGTATAGGGGTAAGTAGCGAAAACAAGTTTCAACGAGTTAAAAATTAATTTGATAAAAAGTAAATACGGGTAAATAGAAAATACGGTCTAATGATTATATGAAACTATAACAAAAGATTGAAATTAGAATTTTTTTCTAATAATTTGCTAATTGCTATACAATTGGTAAATACAGATAAATGACTATAATATTCTTTTTTTTAATACCTAGTGACAAAAGTAGTATCACTTTTCTATTTGAAATAATTGCATCACTGGAGCGCAATATTAAGCTGGAAAAAAGTGTAAAATTTTTATTTCAATACTGTCTCATAATTTATATGATGTTAAATTATATGATGTAAAATTTATATGATGTAAAATTATTAAATGAGAAAAATAAAATTTGAATTTTTTCCTAACAGGCAAACTGGCAAAGTGTAAGTCTTGGAGGACTTGTAAAAAAGACAAAATAATCTTTATTATACGTATATTAAAATAATGCGTGATATAAATAAATACGTATATTAAAAGCTACGATAATATTAAATAATTAATAACTTTATGATTGCCTTGTAAAGTGTAATATCGCATGCGTACACATGTATATGAACACAAAAGTCCATGCCAATATAATGTTGTTAATTTGTAATCAATAACCATAATAGTATAGGGCAAATTACTTAACCCCACACATTGAAAAGTTCTTTCTCAATATGATGGATATTAAAGAAATGTTGAAACGAGAGAGAGAGCGAGAGAGAGAGAGAGAGAGACAATTAAATAATTTATAAAATAAGATATATAAAAGAATATACAATACATGTACATCATTTAAATTACTTTTTGAATTACAGCAGAATATACTTATACGATAAAATAATAATGTCATTATGTAAACATTTTATTATTTTTTTTAGTAGTTAGAATATGTGTGACAGATGAACGGATAAATGTAGTATCTGTGACTAGCAAAATAGCCCAAAAAATGCTTACAGATAAATAATAAAATTAAATAATACTTTTCTGTGATTGTGTAAACATTCCAATGAGCGTAACAATATTTATTAATTATACTTAAGAGCTACTTTTATCAATTTTATGAACCAAGAAACTCATAAATTCGTATCTGGAGACACGGTGTCTCGGCGTTAAGACATGACGTGAGACAGTGCCGTGCTCCTTATAATCACAGCGCTCAATGTTATCAATAAAATGTTACGACAATATTTATTAATTTTATTTTTTCTTACAGCCAATATATATTTCGTTAAATTTTGTACAGATAAAATGTAAAAAACGTTTTAGTAAAATGAGACTGTAAGAGAGTCATCTCGACTATAATATGTACATACATACATTGCCACTGTAATGAAGACATCATCATTGTGCACCTTAAAGTATTAATTTTGTTTACTATTTTATTATAATGTAAGGAGCGCAAGCCATTTTTATTTTATAAGACAAATATCGCAATAAACTCTACTTTTGTTATGTAACACCGTTATTATTATTATCATTGTCATCGTGATTATCGGTACGTCGATACTTCTTAATACAATAACCTAACATATATATACAAATATATGTGGTAGGTGTAATCGAAAAATTTTGTAAGAGAATAATTCAATTATAGTAATTATACTCTTGCTAGAAAAGAATTAAATTCAAAATTAATAAAAAAAGATAACTGAGACGACTGTATTTATATTTGTTGAATTTTATCTCTATATTGATTTATATTAAGCCATAACACACGCGCGCACGTGTATACTGTATTATTAAAGTTAAAATTTACTATAAAATTATTAAAATTCGAAAAATACTTTTCCCAAATTAGGTATTAGAATTAGATAGAATTAAATACTTTCTATCGGTCTATCGATCGTACTACAAAATGGTTTTTTTTTTGTTCTTGCTGTTCCTCACGTTACGAATAAAAAGTAAGTTAAAACTTGTAATAGACATTTCTCTCTTTTTTTTTTTTTTTTTATAAAAAAAACGATTTTATCAAAATGATGTTATTATTCTAAATTTTTCTACATATTTTTGTTGTAACTTTTCATTTTCTGCCTTATCTCTTTTCCCTTGTTCACTATGGACAATTCCATAAAATCCATAAATGCAGAAGCCTGAGGGTAAAAAATTGAGATATAATATTTGATTTAAGCCTTTAGATTAGTTTTAGTCTTTGAATCGCATCGTATATTTTTAATGCCTTTTAATTTGACTACAGGACTTACCAATCAGTAACCAAGTGGCGAATCTGATCCATGTAAAGATGTCTAGTTGCAACATTAAATATGTGTTTATAAAAATACTGAGACACGGAATAAGCGGAACGAGGGGTACCTACACCAAGATTACAAAAATATGTTAAACTGATAGATCAGACTTTTCGCGCATCCCTATGTTATTGTATGTTATAGAATGTGAAACAATCGAGCTTTTTACAATTAGTGTATGTACAATTAGTGTTGCGCGTACATTCCTTTACCTTAAAAGACAATTCAATTCTCTGCACTGGCTGTCTACCAATCGCTGCTAAATTCAAGAAAAGAACAATCGCGAGTACACTTAGTGTCACAGATATCACCATATTTCCTGCGAGCAAATGCGCGCCCATGTTACTAATCAGAAACGTGATAATACATATAACGATACCTGAAACAATTAAACTTTGTAGTCGGAGGAATTACTTGGCATGTCTAATATATATATATATATATATATA